AGGCAAGGGGCTCTAGGGATGTAAAGGAGGATACAAAGGACAGTTGGTGGCAGGACTCTTGTTTCTGGCTGCCCACCTCTCATAATTTATCGAGAATGTAGTAAGAGTGCTGTGGGTTGGGCAGTAATGGAGTGGTGCCTGCAGCTTTCTGCCCTAGCACGGTCACTGGTTATTCTGGTTCTGGCATCTCGTCCCTTTCCACTTGCCTCTTCCCTGACTTCAGCCTCCAGGCTTGGGAAGCTAGCAGATGAGCAGCAATCTTTGCTGTGCCTTCCTGGTCCCTTTTGTAGCTAAATTTCCTGGTGGCCCACTACAAATCTGGCTCCCACCTCCACCATTCTGATGCAACTGTCCTCAGAAGTTGCCAAATTCTTGCTACTTAACACATTTAGAGACTTTTCAAATCAATTTTTTTTTTTTTTTTAAATCTCCCTCCCTAATACTTGGCAGAGCCAACCAGTTTTCTTTCCAGGGGCTTCTGCTCCTCCACTCACACACCTTGGGGCCCCACATGTGTGGCTTTCTTTGGTTCTCTAGCTGTCAGCACCAACATCACCTGCAAACCTGCTGAAAATGAAGACCACACAGGGCATGGCACATCCCTTTAGTCCCAGCACTCAGGAGGTAGAGATTGGGGCCAGCCTGGGCTATAGAGTGAGTTCGAGGACATCCAGGGCTACACAGAAAAACACTGTCTCAAAAACAAAAATTCCACCAAGAAAAAGACAACAAAACAACAAGGAATAAAGCTTGAGACTTGACTTCTGCCCCTCCCCACAGTTAGAGAAAATTATATTTGAACATTTTTCATAAACAAGTATTTTATAGCTGATAAATTAGTTAAGTCTTTAACTACAGGGGTGTCTGAAGCCATGCAGGAGCATCTGATACTCAATTCTCTGATCCAAAGAGTAAACTGTTCTTTTGTGTTCTGTACCCCACCCATCACAGGGCCTTGCAACGACTGGGTTTTTAATTACTCTGATGGTTGGATTGAAGTAACAGAGGAAGTTGATAAAGGGCAGAAGCTCACAGGTGGAGCCTCCAAAGCTCCCTTAAATTCAGTTGTCAAGGACTTAAGACAGAGTAAAGTGTTGGTTGACCCTACATATGGAATATTAATGAACCAGAGTGGGTCCCTGGGCAAATCTCACTGAAGGGCTAGAATTTAAATTCTCATCTGTCTGGTAAAGAGTTAATATCTTGCCCAATCGATATCATTTGCTATTTGCAAATTCTGCCCTTCACACTCATTCCAGACACCCACAGATTTGTGGAGTGTTCATGCCCACACATTCTTATTGTCTTTGTAAAAACCATTCAGCGTGCCTGTGTTACATTGGCTTAAAGCTATTACCACATCTTTACATAACTCTAGACACAAGTATGAAACAAAATAGAACCCAGGTGGCATTGATTCAGGAGAGCCTATTTATAATTCTCCAGTGTGGTGGCTTATTGTCTTCACTGAAGGGTCAGGTTATTTTGTGTATCTGTAAATGTGAGGAGCTTTTCCCAGGAGAATGGAGACACACTGCAAGCTCTTCCAAACAAGGTGCACTGCAAGTGCAAACTGGAGCATAATTACCACGAGGCAGAGAACACGCTGTGGAATCTTCCTTTTTTGAATGACCTTAAACTAGTGGTTTTCAACCTGTGGGTCACGACCCCTTTGTGAGTCAAAAGGCCCTTTCATAGAGGTCACGGATCAGATATCCTGCATATCATATATCTACATTATGGTCCATAATAGTACTAAAATGGCAGTTATGAGGTAACAATGAAATCATTTTATGGTTGGGGGTCATCACAACATGAGGAACTGTATTAAAGGGTCGAAGCATTAGAAGACTGAGAACTACTGCCTTAAACTAACGGACAGGGAATATATGGAGTGAAGTGATAGCCTCAAGTTTAAATCAAGGCAAGTTTTTTTTTTTTTTTTTCTCTTGAACATTCTGCATTTTTGTCTCAGGAAAAGCTAAGGGAGTTTGTGACCATTTGCATTAGCCCCTGTTCAACTGCCATTCTGTGAATTTCAGTTTTCATGATGTTAATAGTGTCTATCCAAGAGGATCTTCCACGCCAGTCATAGCTGTCATGGCCATCCCAACCTTCTTTGCCAGCGGTTTAGAACATTGCTCTCCTTTTGTTTTAACTTCTCTTGCTATTAAGATGTAATGGATAGGTTTTTTGTTTGTTTTTTGTTTTCGGTACAGGATTTCTCTGTGTAGCCCTGGCTGTCCTGGAACTCACTCTGTGTACCAGGCTGGCCTTGAACTCACAGACATCTGCCTGCCTCTGCCTCCCAAGCAATGAGATTGAAGGCATACGCTACCACCAGGCAGTTTTTTCTTTTAGATGGGGTCTCATGTAGCCCAGGATGGCCTCTAACTTACTATGTAGTCAAGGATAGCCTTGAATTTATGATCCTCCTGCCCTTATTTCCTGAATGCGATATGCTGAGCTAAAGATAGAACCCAAGTCCTGGGGTATACTAGGCAAATACTCTGCCACTGAGCTATGTCCCCACCCCAAGAACTGTTTAATTTCATAGTTAAAGAGGCAAAGCAAGTAGTCCTCCCCTCCCTCTCTATCTGGATGAAGACTTGATGCTACAGAAATCATCTGTCTCCATCAGGGAGAGGCCAAGAGACTCCAAGAAGCATCAGCCCAGCACCACAAAGCCTCTCAACAGGCTCCGGAGAACAGCACTTCCTCAGCAGCTCCTTAAACCAGTCTTGTATCCTGGTGCCCAGGCTTTTCCTCCATGTAGGGAGGAAAGCCCTGCTTCAGTCTCTCCAATTAAACTGAAAGCTAGGGGAAAAGATTAAAATCAGTACCAGTTAACTAATGCAGTTCATCGCAGGCATCTCTCAGAACATCTTTTTCCAACAGCATCAGAACAACAGATGTAATCAGGACTTTTGGCTATTCATTTCATACAGTGGAGTCAACACCTATTCTAGTCATTCAAAAAGTCAGCCAAATTGTGTGTGTGTGTGTGTGTGCGCGCGTGTGCCTGTGGTGTGTGTGCATGCCTGTGGTGTGTGTGCATGCCTCTGTGGTGTGTGTGCATGTCTGTGTGCATGTGTGTATTTTTTGGAGGGCTTCTTGCCCCTTTAGGTATCCACACTTGCTGGGGAAAAGGGTTTATGGCAGGACTCATTCCCTGTGGAAACAGACAGCAAACAAATATTCCAGTTGTAATGACAGTAGAGATTGAGACTGTCTGCCAAGGGGTCCTGAGAGGCTAAGATGGAGGTAGCAATGCCGGCAGTAACTCCACTGTGTCCTCAATAAAGGGGCAAGTAAGCAGAGATGCCATCTATTCTAGCTGATGAGGAGCATTCCGTATTCTTTAGTTGAGAAAGAAGGGGTGAAGCAAGCAGGGAGACAGCCAGAAATGTGAGCAGAAGAAATCCTGGGAGTGAGTGATTGACCAGTGATTCGAAGGAAGTGGTCAGGAGAGGTCACAGGACCTGGCTTGGGTGACTTGCTGTGTACAGCACATCCATTAGCATTTTCAACAGCAAAATGACCCCATTCTCTGTCACTTCCTATATGCTAGCCCCTTCCACTACCGCTTGCTGCTCTGTCCTTAAAGGGGTGGGACAGGTCATCCCCATCTTAAATTCATGCTGGCCTCTTGGTTTGTACTGGTTACAGAATGCACCAGCCATGATGAGTTCTGCATTAGTGCCACTCAGCCTCCAGAGGCCTTGCCCACTTCCACTCACTGTCTTGGAACAGTGCTCAGCCACTCCGAGGACAAGCCTTGCCAACCTCCTGGATGAGCCGGCAGTTAGCTGCCAGACCTGAGTGAGTTTGGTGGAGCAATCCAGCCTGTCATTATTACCCTGGGGCTTGTAAATTCTCAGCTATAGCCTCAGAGAGCTCAACAGGCTTTCAAAACCTGTCCTAAGAACAGCCATGAATGTCGTACTGTAAGCTGTGTGGTTTGTCATGCTGTGCAAGCTAACACATAAAACTGGGATAGAGGAAGGCAATGAGTAAGGGAGGGGCTGTCTAGTAGACAGCTGGGCAGATGGGACTCAACTATAGAGACTGCAAGGCTTCTTTCTGCCTGGTTATGGTGGGATCCAAGAACCAGCCATATTTATCTTCTGTGCCTGCTTCCTCCTACTCACACCCCCTATTCTAAATTTCATCACATACCTACCTACTAGGAAATGTTTGAACAGTGAAGTAGATCCAGGAGCCAAGCGCACATGGTGGTATTTACTGTGGGGAATCAGGCCAGAAGCAAGCTCCCTGAGTTTGAGTGAGTCACTTCACCCTGCAACAGCAGGAAAGGGGCTGCCTGGGTTTGGATGCTGAGCTGTGGGAAACGACTGCCCCCTACGGGAGTTCTCAAGTAAGTGTCAGCAATTACCTTGGTTCATACTAAATTAGTAAATTAGGGCCCTTCCCCCGGCCCTACCCTTTTCCAAGGTGATGTCACCCCTCAGTACCCCTTTACTTTTTTATTATTATTTACTTATTTATTTATATATGTACATTTGAGACAGTCTTATGTAGTCCAAACTGGCCTTTAACTCAAACCCTCTATGTAGCCAAAGATGACCTTGAACATTCTGCCCCTCCTGTCTCCACTGGGTGTACCACCACACCCAGTTTACAGGGTGCTGAAGCTCGACTTCAGGGTTCCCATCAGCACTCTGTCAAATATTGGATTTCTTCTTCCCATTGTCCCAGAAACATCCATCCAGTTGCAGCTTTTGCTCTTCTGGTGGCCCAGCTGCTCTCTAATGTTCACGCTCCAGGCTAGTGGCCCATGCTGGCCGCTGCGGGTACTATCAGGACCCGGCAGGCACAATTTGAGCTCTCTTGGGCTCCACTGGCTTGGGACCCGCGCAACTGGGTGAGCAGAGCGCGTCAGGCGGCCTGGCGGTGCGCACGCCCGCTGGTGACAGTTCCCTGCGCTCACACTGCTCCCACCACTCCAGGAAGGGGCGGGGAATAGGAGGTGCTAAAGGCGCCTACCGGGCTCCCCGAGCTCTTTAAAAACCGTGAGCTGGGGACAACTCCGCTGGCCCGGCCGCATCCCGCCTTGTGTCCAGCCAGCTATCCTGCAGCGCGGTCGCGGGACGTGCCCATGCGTCCGCCAACCATGTCTGGGCACTTTCTGCTGGCTCCCATTCCCGAGTCCTCCTCCGACTACCTCCTGCCCAAGGACATCAAACTGGCGGTGCTAGGCGCGGGTCGTGTGGGCAAAAGCGGTGAGTGGGGCAAGGGATCGCGCCGCTCGGCGACAGCAGGGGTCCCCGCCCGCAGGGTTACAGGGATACAGGAAGCCCCCCTCCTGATTTCTCTGCCAGTCCACTCCTGAGCTCTGGATGGGGTTGGCGGCTGTTGAGGGTCGCTCCAGTCTCAACCGTCACATCCCACGGGGGAGCCACTTTATCCCGGGAACCTGGGGAAACGCGCGCTCTTCCCGTGGGGGCGACCACTTTGACCCAGTTCTTCAATTGATTTTCCTACTTCATTTTTCAGCAATGATTGTGCGCTTCTTAACAAAGAGATTTATCGGCGACTACGAACCCAACACAGGTTAGTTAGACTGGCTTCCTGCTCCTTGCCTTTTGTGCTTCAGTCTGTTTGTCCTCCCTCCCCTCCCTTGCTCCCTCTTTCCTTTGCTGACCAGAGCGTGAGAACTCAAATGCAAACTCCTCTTCGCTGTGCAGGCAAACTGTATTCGAGACTCGTCTATGTGGAGGGGGACCAGCTATCACTGCAGATCCAGGACACTCCGGGAGGCATCCAGGTAAGGACTGACTGTGAGGAGGGTGTGCGGTGAGATGCCTCGGCTTGTCTAATACGAATTTAAATGTAGGCGTGGGCTGTCTGTCACGGGTGAACTGAGGGTTGCGATGTTGGATGCCCTCCAAGGGGGAAGGGAATGGTTGGTTAGAACTAGTTTGCTCTTTTTTAAAACACTACTTTTAATTAATTAATTGTTTTAAAGATTGTGCCTTGCTATGGCCTCCTGACTGGCCTATCACTTGCTTTGTAGTTCAGGCCTGACTTGGATTTACTATAATCCTTGATGCCTCAGCCTTCCAAGTGTGGAGATTGCAGGCTGAGCCATCCCACAACTCCCCACCCCCCACTCCCCACCCCTTCAGCAGTAGCTTCTTTTGCAGCCCTGGCTGACCATCAAGGCCTGGGCTGCTTAGGCAGGTAACAACACTTTAAGAGAACATCCAGGAACAAATTAACAACACCTGGCCGAGGGGTGGGGGGCAGTGCTGGGGATGTAGCTTAGTAGTAAACGCTCACTCCGGCAGGTCCAGGGTTCAATACCCAGAACCACATTAAAGAAGCAAGCAGTAGGTGGGATTCTGGAGGGTGAGGGCCTGCTTCCTGGCCAAGGCTGCCAAAAATGTTAGGGGCTGTTTGTTTCTCCAAGCCAGTAATTGCAATCAGATAACCTCTTGGCCATCAGTATGGAATGCAACTTACTAATTGCTTAGCCCTTCTAGGGAGGAAAGGTCCTGTGGAAGAGTGCAGAGAAAGGAATTCGTTTTTGTAACATTCTCAAGAAGTTGACTGCTAAAAATATTTTTTATGGGCTTGGGAATAGATATTTATGTTGGCTTATTTCCAGAGTTTTGTTTGTTATGAATTAGTTCCCTGAAAACTAAGCCACTCTGGGCTGTAATTATCCTTGAGTCGTCAGAGTTCACTGAAAGCTGCCTGTGGAGCTGGGGGTTAGAAGTGTACATCCATACTAGCTCAGAAAGGAATCCAGGGTAAGCATTGGTCTGAGGCTTTCTCTGTCCAAAGCCTCTTACAGAATCGAGGTAGAGCCTGACAATCACATTTATTGACATCTCCATCCAGTCAGTGTTCCTCCAAGGGTTACTGCAGAATCATGTCTGAGCTTCTTTGACCAGGTCCCATTTTGGTTTTCCTCAGGCCCAAGATAACCTCAGCCAAACGGTGGACTCTCTGTCCAAGTGCGTGCAGTGGGCCGAGGGCTTTCTGCTGGTCTATTCCATCACAGACTATGAGAGCTACCAGTCCGTTCGGCCACTTTACCAGCAGATCCGGAAGGTCCACCCTGATGGAAAAGCCCCTGTCATCATCGTGGGCAACAAAGGAGACCTCTTGCATGCCCGGCAGGTGCAGACACATGAAGGTCTTCAGCTAGCCAATGAGCTGGGCAGTGTCTTCCTTGAAATTTCCACTAGTGAAAACTACGAAGACGTCTGTGATGTGTTTCAACATCTCTGTAAAGAAGTGAGCAAGCTGCACAGCCTCAGTGGGGAGCGGAGGAGGGCCTCCATCATCCCCCGGCCTCGCTCCCCGAACATGCAGGACCTGAAGAGGCGCTTCAGGCAGGCTCTGTCCTCCAAAGTAAAAGCCCCCTCTGCCCTGGGGTGACCCATCTCAGACAGACTGGTGACTTTTGTTATTACTATTATTATTATTACTAAGCATTTGTGCAGCCACAAAGACTGGGCCTGTCCCCTTTAAAACATATCGAGAGTTTATTTTTATAATGACTTTATTGGCTTTCAAGTGTATGTGTATTTCTGAAAATTCAGACAATGATTGACTAGATGTTGGATTTTTTTTTTTTTTTACTGTAACTGTTAGCCACTTTTCCATTAAAGGCAAAATGGCAATACTATTCATTGTTTTCTGAATGTCTTTTTATAGAAATCTTGCTTGCACGAGAGCCCAGAAGTGCTCAGTGCTTGGCCTTGAGTCTGAACTCTGATTGGCGTCTTGAAGTAGGGAGGGGGTCATGCAGAAAGAGGGAGTCAGCTCTGGGAGAGAGAAGTATGCAGAGGAGGGAAAGGGGTTTGCATAGCTACAGGATGGCCTTAATTAGGGCAGTTCTTCATAGTCAGGAAGTTGACACTGGTTTTCCAGCCCAGTGGTATGTTGGGAACTGATGCTAAAATGCAATGATCTGTCATTATTATTTACTTATTTGTACAAATGAGAGTGTAGCCGCTCTACAGAATATTTTGGAAAACAAAAGCCCAGCTAGATGCTGGCACATGCCCATGATCCTATCCAGAAGCATAAGTGTCAGACCCCCCTGAGCCACGTGTGGAAACCCCGATATAAAACTAGTGTCCTGGGATGGAGCTCAGTGATAAAATGCATGCTTGCTGTGCTCAAGGTCCATGGTTTGATTCCCCAGCACGTCCAAAGAGGGAAGACAATCCCCTTTGTCAGGATCCTTTATGTCAGTAAGTGAGCTTTGCTATCCAGGAGTGGCCTCCTTCCTCCTTCCCTTCCTGCATCCCAGACCCTCGGCCGTATATGGAAATAAGATCATCAAAGTATGATTCATGAACCAAAGATGCAGATGGGGAGTTATTTCACAGTGAACACAATCCATGGATAAGGGGCATTGACTTCCTGGTGAACAAGGACCAAAGTTGTTGCGGTCTTCCTTCACCATCAGGGTAGAAGCCTCTGGTAAAGCAGAGTATAACTGATATTTGAGATGTATCTTGGGTCTTGGGGATTGAACCCAGGGCCTTACACTCTAGCACTGAGCTTCACCCCAGCCTCTGAGGCATATCTTTTCCTGTGTGCCCTTTAGGAAGACGCTGGCTTGTGGACCACTATGGACACGAAGACAAAATAGGAGGGAGGTGTGGGTATTGAAGCACCTGGTGAGGGCTTGGAGACTGCAACACTGTTGCAGCCTGAGCTGTAGATCTTCAGGACTTGGTTAGGGATGGCCTGTCCACAGCTTTATCTCTCAAGGTGCTGGTAAACTCGTTTATACATATCTTGAAATCCAGGGGTTGAGATCAGTAAGTGGGACACTAACTAACTCACATATGAAGTCTGACAAGGGTTATGGAACTTGCTGGAGGGAGTAGATGTTCCTTTCAAGTTCTCAGGTGTGGTATTTGGCCGGAAGTTACACTGGAAGAGGAGGGGACACACTTCAAACAAAAACATCGTCAAGTGGCTATGTCTGTGCTTTTTGGAATCATCTAAAAGCTACATGCCCTCACCTTCTATTCATAAGCACACTCTGTAAGGCACTGGGTCTATCAGTGCTGTTTTTCTTTAAAGGTCCACTCATGCCTCTTTCAAGGACTTTATAGCTCTTCTCTATACCAGACATCAAAGATTAGACAAGGGGCTGGAGAGTCAGTTCAGTGATTAGGCTCACTGGCTGTTCTGCCAGAGGACCTGGGTTTGATTCCCAGCTCCCATACAGTAGCTCACGACTGTTTGTAATCCAAGTCCCAGGGTATCTGATGCCCTCTTCTGCAGGCACAGGAACAGGATTGTCTGCCTTTCTCATTATACTCCAGGTTCTTCCAGGCCTCCCCACCTTGGCACAAGCTATCCCTAGGTCTCATCTACTTTCACTTAGTCCTTCCCTAAGTAAGGGCTTACTAACTTTTCTTCCAGGACCCATGTCATATGCTGTATACCAGATTTGACTCTGGGATGCCTTTTGGGGGTTTCCTTATCCATGCTATATAACCCAATGGTGTCAGGAGCACTCATGTTAGAGGGAATGCCCCCAAAGGCAGCAACTGCATTATGACTTTGTATGCCGCCTGCTTCATTCTGCTAATACCCACAGCCTAGCAGGTGTTTTGTTTTAGTTTGTGTTTTCATTTTGACATGGTCTCTTGTAACCCAAGCTAGTCTTACTTCCATTTGAACCTTGATCCTTCTACCCCCACCTCTAGAATGCTGGCATGTTGTGGAATAGAATATTTGTTTAACTATGTGAGGATGTGTTGCATTTGTTTCGTTTCGTTTTGTTTTGTTTTCAAGACAGGGTTTCTCTGTAGCTTTGGAGCCTGTCCTGGAACTCGCTCTGTAGACCAGGCTATCCTCGAAATCACAGAGATCTGCCTGACTCTGCCTCCCAAGTGCTGGGACTAAAGGTGTGCACCACCACCACCTGGCTACCCATGATCTCTTTCTAGGACACAGCCCCAAGTGACCTAACTTCCCTCTGTTAGACCCCAGCTCCCAAAGTTTCCATTATAGGCTGCAATCAAGGCTTTGACATGAGACACTGGAGGAACATTCTACATCCAGTCTATAACACAGGCCATAAATTACTCTTCCACCCAAGGACACCTCTACCAAGACCTGCAATATCAAAGAAAGTTAAGAAAATTAGACAATTTGTATCTAAAAGAGTACCCAATCGGGGTTTGGTGGGAGGGGACAAGTTCTAAATGTTGAAAAATACCATTTAGAATTCTATAATCTTTTGAAAAGTGGCTTAATTCTTCCAGTGGGTTTCATGCCCTCAGAACAAAGGTGACATGCCTCGGCCTCTTTCTATGGATCTTAGCTTGTGCACATAGACACAAGAATATCTGAGTCTCCCATCATTGCCATAACTACAATGTGTCCAGGTCACTGCCTGGTGTCGGGGGGGGGGGGGGCCCTTCTGCTGGCAACAATCTAAGATCATATACCCAATTAGGATATTTTCAGTTACAAAAGCTAAGCAACAGGTTTGGCTCAAGAGGCTCAAAAGATGAGTTCCAGGGCAGTTTCATAAAGAGTCCTAGCCTCAGTGGTCTCAGGTAGGCTGATGGGCTAAGTGGAGAGTGTAACACAGTCATTTTCTGTCTACAGCATCACAGATAACAGATCCCCAGATCCCAGAGTCTTCCTTCGGTGAGTGGATTCAGTTTCCCAGAAATGGCTCAACAGGGAAGTAGACTGCCTGCTCTTACAGAGCTTAATGGCCTGTTGTCCCTGTCCCAGCCTCCTGCTGATTGGTGGCTTGGTCCCCTGGGGCTCATAAAGCTTAGAGAGTATCCAGGCAGTTCCTGGGATGGTTGTCTTGGAGATGGAGGCTACTGTCAGCGCAACATTCATGATGAGGAAGTGGGGAGTTGTTGGATTTGTGTGTTGGGAAAAAAATCTGAGGACTTGGACTCAATTGGGCAACAAGGAAACCATTCAAGAGGAAGCTTGCTCCAAGCCAACCTCAAAAGAATGAAGGCAGAAGAATCACAAAAGATCCAAACGCCATCCTCTGTCTTCCAGGGTGGAAGTCCCAGAACTCTGGACAGAAACTCAGAAGGATGTTGACAACATGGTGGGAGCCCAGAGGAAGTAGCCCTAGACTTAGGCCCTCCGAGGTGTCATACACCTCTATCCCCATGATGGGGTAAGACCATGGCTTCCGGTGGTCCCCGGTGCAGCTTGGATCTGGCCTGTATCACCTAGGCCCATGTGTTGAGGACTGGGCCACACAGCCATCTTGTTGCCATTGGAGAGAGGAGGCAGAACATTTAAGAGGTGAAGTGGGGGGCATGCCCTACAAAGGGAACTGTGGGAGTCATCTGATTCTCGTTTGCTTCCTGGTGACAGAGTGAATGATCCTCCAAATTCCCCTCCCCTTGTTTTTGTTTTTGTTTTTGGAGACAGAGTTTCACTGTATAGCACTGGCTGTCCTGGAACTCACTCTGTAGACCAGGCTGGCCTTGAACTCAGAGATCCACTTGACTCTACCTCCCAAGTGCTGGGATCATAGGCATGTGCCACCACCACCCAGCCCTCCTACCCCTTTTTAATATTTTATTCTGTGTGTATCCATGTTTTCCTGTAAGGAGCCGTTACAAGCTAGTGCGCATGCGCACTAGGTAACTTTGTAACTTTCTAGCCCTTGGTCTCCGCCCCTCCCGGGACGTCATATGGTCCGATCAGCTGATGTCATATGGTCCCATGAGCTTCAACCAGTCAGGGGGTGACAGTCCAAGGCGGTGGTTGCCAGCCTATATAAGGGATGGGTTTTTGGGTGTTCGGAGTCTCCTCTCTGTAAGCTTTTGCTCTCCCTCTCAAGACGCATTAAAGCTTTACTGCAAAAGGATCCTGAGCAGAAGGATCCTGAGGAGTGTGCCGCGTCGTTTTTTGCTGGTGAGAAGGTAGTGCGGGACATCTGGTGCCGAAACCCGGGAAATCATCGTCAGCACCATTGGAGACCCCTTGGCTACAAGGAGGATTCAGAACTGCAGGGAGGTACGATTCGGAGAGATATGTCTTTTCTGGACTTTGGCTTGGGATTGTTGATCTTTTTCGCTGTTGTAGCAATCTTGAAGAAGTCCAGAATAACATGTCAGAAGCTTTACTGCAGAAGGATCCTGAGCAGAAGGATCCTGAGGAGTGTGCCGCGTCGTTTTTGCTGGCGAGACGGTAGCGCGGGACATTTTCCTGCATGAATGTCTGTGCACCACACACATGCCTGATGTCTTCAGAAGAGGATGTCAGATCTTCTGGAACTGAAGTTAAGGATTTGCCCTGTGGGTACTGGGAATCAAACCCAGGTCATCTGCAAAAGCAGCCAGTGTTCTTAACTGCTGAGCCATCTCTCTGGCCCCAAGATGAATGGTTTGGCATTTCTGTCCTCATGCCCTGCCTCCCTGCCTCACTACAAACTGGAAACAATGGGGCAAGAAGACCATGAACGGTAACCTCTAAAGCTATGAGACTAAGGACTCTCTATTGTCTTTATGTGCTTCTTTTCTGTTTGTTTTGAAGCAGCTTAACTTAACATCAGTGCACCCATGACAGGCTGCAGACTAACAATACTGGGACTAGGCCTCACCCTTACAATAACCAGGAAAAACCACAGACTGTATCCTATGGGGGAACCTATCAGAATTGAGACAA